ATTTCAGCGCAGTATGCACTTTGAGACGGAAAAAACTATCGCAAACGCGCAACACTGCGTCTTAGCAGCCAAAATGAAACCTAATCCGCAGTCCGTAAGACGAACGACTGAACATTCTAATCTTAGTTCTCTGACAACAACTTGATGTTCTTCTCAAGCCGATGTACGTCATGTAATCACACAAATCCAAACATACCACACGATCAAAGCGCTTTTCTCAATGAGGGATCGTTGTGTGCGTTTGTGTATGCGCAAGCCTGTGTACTGCTCGGTTTGTGGGAACGCGGTAACAAAATCGTGGTTATTCAGATAAAGCCAAAGTCAACATACGAGATCGTAGCCAGGCGGCTGTGCATACCACGATTTTGTATGTTTTCGTCCCGGTAACTCGGATTATACACATACCAATAACATCCTCGCAAACATTGCTACATATTACAGTGAACTTTTTGACAAGGTTGCGCAAACAATAGACTTTGAGAGCAGTGTCGAGGTGATTTTAGGGGCCTTGGTTTCTTTAACAAAAAAAAAATGATCCGGGAGTACTAAGCAAGCCAGTGCCCAGACGGCAGCTCATATGATACACTCGCGGCTGAAAAATTTGATTCTAAACGCTAGCCCAGATCGTACCCTCTACCGCAACTCCAAGACGCTGATTGGTTAGCTCAGAAAACAGAACGTGGTCAAAGTGGGTAGACTTTCACGACCAAGAATTGACCAAATGAGCTGCCGCCCGGGTGGTGATTATTGTTGTTCAGGGCTCCTACCCCAGACCTTTCCACAGAAAAAAAGCCAAGGCACCCGTCGTCAAATTTGCTTGCAAAATGCCTTGAGTTCAAGTTTCTTGTCCATGACTATTTCCAAAATATCAAAACAATACGTAAAGCTCACTCTGGCAGATTCAACTCATCACATGCAAATTAGGCCAATTTGGTCTAATGCGAGTTGTTGTGTAGAACGGAGGGCCTTGTTGGCATTAGTATGACAGATGTGTTCCAGTCAGAAAATAGAATTGAGTTGTTTTGATAGAGACTACTCGAAAGCCCATATGGTATGAATTTGTCAAATGAATGAAAACAGGGAGCGAGCATAATCAGCACTTTCAGCTAACGAGCAAAATTTCTCAAAAAAATTTCTCAAAAAGGTGATTATCCAGGAAAGAGGATGGGATAGACATTCTCAGATCATATAAACAATTGCGATCTTTTTCATAAGTTATGAGAGTTCAATCCATGTACCTAATATTCTACAAATGCAGGGGTCACTATTGTGTGCCAATCCAACTCAAACACCGGTCACAAACAGTTATTAGACAAAAGTATCCAAAAGTATCTACGGAAAAACGAAAAATTTTCAAATTTCCTTTCTAGTTCAAGAATATTTCGTGAAAAAGACTCTCACCACTTCTTCTCCTCGAATCTTTCTCAAGACGAACTGCTTTTTCATACAATTTTGTACTATTCCGTAGAGTACGGGAGTAAACCGATTCGAGGCATAGGAAGCACAAAGAGAAGTAAAGGTTACAAAAATCATATAATCTGATTCATTCTCTGTCGAGAAATTCGCCTTGAAAATCTCGTCCAAACCGTAACCATCACCGATACCGTAACCTTTCAGCGCGGAAGCGGACCAGTCGATCTCAAGTAATGCGCACCAATTGGTACGCTTAGCAAAGTCGAGTTAGAATTAAAACTTTTAGCCCGAATAAATCACGCGAGCTAGATCTTGCGCAATGGCTAGAGACTTCCTAATCTTCCATATAACAAAAATAGAGTTTTGATTGCTGGCTAGTAATTTCGAAAGGAAAAGATCAAATCTCCTCGGTAAATTATTTTGAAGGCTTTTATTGTTTCTGGCCAATTTTTACAAGAAAAACTCCACAGCACAATTTTTAGATCGCAACTATTTGCATTCTCCTCCCAAACACTCTTCGCTGCAAATCACCTCACTTTCGTCGAATACGTAAGCGTTTAAGCGCATTTGGCTGTGCAGCAATCTAGTCGTATACACACATACGTAGTTGCCAGTATCATACATACATACACGTTGTGATGGCGACAGTAGTCGCTGATAATCCGACACGATTTGCACACCCTGCGCGCTCTTCTTTCCTCGTACGACGCGACGCACCAGCCGTGACGCTGACAGATCATCTGATTTTTACGTGCCAAATCATTGCCTAGGATTATAAGCGGGGAGAGATGGTGGGGGTTTACGTGAGGAAAAATTCGAAATAAATCATGGGTTGCATGCGGGAGAGAAGATGCGTGGAAAAAATATCACAGAAAAACTATCGCTGAGAGTTTTGCGCTTGCACGCTGCTTTGCACGCCACATTGCAAAGGTCGAAAAACTCTTTGCTTGGTCAAAAATCGTGGAAAAAAATCGTTTCATTTCGCGCACGTCTTAGTGAATGAAAAACAAGGTACGGGGGAGTGGATCACAAGCTATGATAGCGTCTGCCGAAGCAAAAAATCAAGTCATTATTCGACAGAAACACGGGAGGGAAAAAAAAGTTCGGATATATTCTTTGCACGTTGATACCACGAGCTTATTGTGCAAGATTTATTACGAAAGATTTGGCGCTTGTTTGACAGTTAGAAAGAAGTTGACAAGGTTTGCCAATGGTTCCCTTGACAAAGAAATTTCGAAAAGTTTCACTATCCTATTCTGACCCACGAAAAGATCGTAGACTGTATAAAAGAAATCAAGAAATCGTTGCTCTTTCTGCAATCATTATACTCATAGAGAAAAGAAGTATATCCATTCAGAGAACAGACTACAGCGAAATCAGTACTTCAACCTTTCAACCGCTGAAAATCGTAAACGGGGGGGGGGGGGGGGGGGAGGGGGGAGAGAGATTGCAGATCTGGCACCTAGATTTCTTATGCGAAAACTGAAGATGCCTTAGCTAATCATTTGCCCAAGCGGCAGCTCACATAACCTATTCTAAAAATTTCAACTCTAAGCAGCAGCCCAAACCGTAAATCCTACCGCAAAGACGCTGACGTGTCCCCTCGAACTACGGTCTGGGCTGGAGCTTAGAAGGAGATTTCTCCTTCTAAGTTCCAGCCAGAAATAGGTCATATGAGTTGTCGCTTGAGAAAAGGCTTAGCTAGAACCTGCCAATCAGTATCCACATAAGAAGATCCAGACATCGAAATTTGCTTAAGCAGTGTCTCTGCATGAGCATTCCCGTCTAAGGGAAGAAAATCAAAACTCGCTCCTACTCAAGTTTTTGTTCCTCTACTCTCCACTCATAGTCCCTCTGCGCTTTAGAGCCACAGAACCGAAGCCGCTGGACTTAGCTCAATTACGTACAGTAGGATGCTTCCACTTGCATGGATCTAGGATAATAACCTAGCACTTCACACCTCTGCACTTCCATAAAAGTCGTTTTAGCCACTCATCATTTGCAGAGACGACACAAGAGGCAAAAAACCGTAAAGCCTGCCTACCATCAATGCATGCCTATCCCAATTATTGCAATAGTTCATGAAAATTGCAACATTGCTGCGATCATAGGCGCTTCAATAGTGCGCTAATCATAAGATCATCGTTGGACTAATCCCGTACCAATTAAACCGTACCCACTTCGAACCGGATGATGATGATGGACAAAACATGCCGCAATGCCGACCGACATCGTTGCCACTTAATGGACATGAGCAACACAAAAAATGTTCTGCGATTGGTCCTCATTTCGATGCTGACGTAAACGGAACTCTATTTGAGAAACGAGAAAGTCTAGCAGTCTAAGATGAAGGAAAAAAACGTTCTGCTCAATCTTGCTCAACTCGATAGAAGAGATTACATTAGCGGAAAAAACCAGGAAAAGAAAAGCAAGCTAAACTTCAAACAACAACGGTCGATCCTCAGTTAAGACCCCATTCAGAACTAGGAGAGGGTAACATACTAAAAACTTGTGTTCTAGTGCCAAAAATCAAGTTGGCAAGGAGTACTACTCATTGTGCAAAATTATCATTGCTGCAGTCCGACTACGGGACCGACCGTACACCTACCATACCCACATCACATACTGCAATATTCCAGAACAAGTTCTCGTAGCTGCATGGAGAAGAGAGATTTTGGTATTTTTGCATAAGATTAGTATCTACCTAAATTCAATTGCGGGTTAATCGAGCTCCGACCGTACATCCACCGTACCCCTGCAGACTACTGTACTGCAATATGAATTGCCTCGTTTCTACTGCAATGATGGCTTTTCGTAGCGAACAGGATAGTGAGATTAGAAACCATTATTGGAATTTTTGTACAAAATTATCTGCTACAGCACAACTAACCCTTTACCGTGCATACCGTACTCCAAAAGATCGACGGTCGTATGGAGCTGTAAGGTATGCACTTTATCAGCGCTTTCTCTCATCTTAATCACTATGATGAGTTTCTGTCAAAACTGGTGTATTCTGCAGCCCCTATTGACCCAGTATGTGTACTGTGGAACTTTTTTGTAAACAAAATGTGACACTAACCCGGAAGCTTTCTATTCACAAATTTCGAACTACCGTAACAACAATCTAGACCTGGTTCGCAGCCAAGGACTTTCTTACCACGATACTACTTACCAATCAGTCACAATCACTTTTTAGTATCGCAGACTTTCTCGGAACTGCTGCTGCCGTCAGACAGACGCATACCACCCGGAAGTCTATCATGACTCTTCATTGGCTCATATAATTAATGAGTCACGACGTGGCAATTGTTGGCTACAAATAACACCGAACACTCTCTCACTGTTGTTCAGAAGGTTGTTTGGTAACGGATGCTGTACGACAACAAGCGTTTGATGGATTTGCGCATGTATTCAGCAGCTTGAGTACGTTGAACACAACCGCCCGCGCTACTACCGCATCCGCAATGCATGTTAGCCAATAAACATAAGAAATTTGAGGTCATTACGTGGAATACGCTGGACAAATACCATTGTGGGCTTAGTCTAAGGTCAAACAAATAAGCCGGACAAGACACACTTGCACTCACAATCGGTCATACAATCGTACTTCGGCAGTGGTCGGACGGCAGACCCAATGGACAAACGCTTTCGGTTTGTTCTGTTCGGTTAGCGATGAAGCTTCAACGACGAGTTCAACAACATTGTTTGACGAATCCTGGAAAGAAAGTAAAACGATTTGAAATAATGCAAAAAAAGTCAAAAGAAGATAGGAGCATATCAGGTCATATTGGTAACACAAATGACAATCTAATTTTGTTAAAAAGTTCAAATTCCGATTCACTTAGGTAAAATCTAATTTTGCATATTGAAAAAAGTTCCTAGTCTGCTTAGGTGAAATCTAGTTTCGCAAACTTTGAAGAGAACCTTCCGTTTCATTTAGACGAAAGATCTAGTAAATCTTCCAAAAAATTCCCGTTCAAATTAAGTAAAGACAAATTTCGCTAATTTTAAAAATTCCCTTGATAGGTAAAACCTGACTGGGCAAAGTTTCCGGAAAAATTCCCGTTCCACTTAGGTAATACTTATTTCGCACTCTTGAAATATCAGAATAACTCCTGCTTCATCTGAGTGAAACCAAAAATTGCAAAAATGGCAGAAGATTTCCAATTTCGCTTATTTAGAATCCGAAGTAAATCTTACAGAAACCTCTCGTTTCAATGAAGTAAACTAATTATGCGAAAATGCAAAAAATGAGCAAATTTTCATAAGATATCAAAAATCGCCTTTTCTCTGGATACACTGGACTTGCACACTTTTTTACTTACCTACTATTCTCAAAGCTGGTGTGAACTCCTACTACATAAAGAAGGAACCACCAAGATTGCACCAATACAAACCTACCGTAATCTCTTCAATCACATTTAGCACGATTCCAATATATTTCAGTCCAACCGGCTGTTCCTTTGTTAATCTACGGAAGCCCTTTTCGCATTGGCCCTGTAACAAAAGCTGATACTTGCAAGTTTCTTTGTGTTTCTCTTTGCATACAAAACATTCATTAGTTTCGCCATGCCGGGGTTCACCCGGGCAACATGCGTCTCCGTCAACTCATGACAAAACGCACTCAACATCCGGGCGTCGCGGGCCTCGGATCTCCTAGGTGGAACGCCATATATCATTGGGAGAAATGGCCTTCAGGAACCATTGTGAACGGCCAATATCTCGCCGGAAATGAATTGAGCTTGATGGGGGACGCATGTCAGTGCACATGAACGACGGGCGACAAATTTTTTCTAGTTGATCTGCTTGGTCCTTAGGGGAAATGGAGGGTTGTCTAACCATCTGATATACAGTGGCATGCTCACACTTCACTATCAATTTGCATTGACTTTTTTTGAGTGGAAAAATAATAGATAAGGGGATCTGATCATGGGAAGCATTTTAGCACTTTTTATGGACTTACGAAGTAACGATGCACGGGACAACGTTTTTTAAAAGCTGCACGTGGCCGTAAAATCTCGTTGCTCAGTTTCACATCTGTTCAAATCATATGATAAGCTCACGAGTTTTGTGTAAATGCGCATGTCATACAGCCAAAAAATGGCAATTTAGGATTACATCAAAGTTTACGACTATATAACATTTGCAAAAGGATAGTGAAAATTTTATTTTCTTTGATCAGATCCATATGGAGGGAAAGGAAATGTTTGGAAGATTTTAACGTGAATTTGTTATAGCAGAATGACATTTAGGGAGAGAGAATTCAAGGCAGTGTCAGATACTGTGTCAAAGCTTGCTTGGGAGATGCGACATTATGGTCATTTCCCTTTTTCTGTTTTATAAAAAGAGATTTTGGTATAAAAAATGCTGAAACCGACACAAAAATCATGCACACTCTGAATGTTCTCTTCAAAGTTTTCTTCTTTACATCCGAGCCGAATTTTCATATTATTCAAAGGAGACTTAGCTCAAATACTCCAATTTCCCCCCCCCCCCCCCCCCAACTTTCTCTCCTATTTCCAGCACAAATTATGAACAATTGCCTTGTTTTACATCACGTCATGTCTCTTCGCTAAAACCTAGTTGCATAGTGACATTATTCACCAAACTCTTCAGCGCCTAGATGACATCATTTATAAAAACATTTGTCATCTAATGTTTAATGTTTAGTGCAAATATTTAGTGAACAAGTAGATAGTCAGACCGAATGAGAAATAATTCATGAAAAAATTTTAGCGCATTCTCATCGTAAGAGAGCGTGGACAGCTTTAAACCAAACATTTTAGACAAATGATTTTGATGATTTGATTTAAGACAAACAAAAAATTTACGATGTAATAAATCCAACGAGAAGTGGGTTTGTGCCTCACAACTACCTTTAATAATGCGACTTTGACAAAAAGTTTCGATATTTATGAAATATCCTCTCTTTCTGCATCTGTTTTGAGCTCTATAGTCCTGAAAATTGAATCGATTCCCTTCTCAAGAGTCCAGACACTTGGACCGGTAGGCTAATACATCCATATTTTGCGAGTTATAAGAACTTGCACCAACCGTTGACATGAGCCAGTCCAAATTGAAAAATGTGTTCTAAAATCAGATTTTCTGCGATGTCCCAAATTATCTGTGCCAATAATAAAAACCTTTTCCAGACATTTTTACACAAAATCCGGTTGTTCTATTCCAAGAATAAATGCATGTGCCGAAAAATAGCTTCTTCATGTACGCACACGAGATGGATGGGATGGATGTACTTTTTACATGGAATGCAAACGCAAGAGAACTCGTTGTTTGACAAAGATCTGGATAAGCAACAGCAAATGGTCTTCAATTTCAAGTACCTTCCTGCAAATGTCCAAATATAGCAGGGGACTGATGTATACCGGATTAAAATTGAGAATGACTCAAGGTTGTCTGATACAGAAAGCGAAGGCTTCCAAAAATTTCAGCATGAAAATTTTTGATCTCAGCAGTGTTAAACAAGCATTGCAGTAACCCATTTCCCTCTACTTTCGATCCGCGTAGGAGGGGGGGGGGGGACAAGGGACAGTTTTTCAGAAGATTGTGAAAATACCTCAGTTATCATAGGCAATGTCCAGCTTTTTAGCAACCAACTTCTCATTAGAGACCAACTGAGACTTAATACTAGTGCCCAGATGGATCTGGTACCTGGTCTTCCTGAGCGGAATTTGATGGAGCCAGTCCCAAGTAAGAATTTGCCCAAGCGGCATCATAAGATATACTCATGTTTAAGAAACTTATTAGCTCTCGGACAGTTCCGTTGTATTCCGATGCAGACCAGCGTCCTCGAGTATGCTGACGGGTAGAATCCTTCTTATGTGAAGTTGACTCAGAGGCTTTGAAGTTGAATATCACTTAGTTTCCAGGTAAATCCAGGACCCAAGTTTCTCAAGCGTGAACTGGTGGGGGAGTCTGAGTAAGAAATAGCCCAAAGGACAACTGGTAGGATTTCCTCAAAGGCAAAAAATTGAACTCCAAACTCTCGCCCAGTATCGTACTCTTCTCAACCCGGGCACTCAACAACTACGGTAGCGGGCGAGAGTTTATGTCTGGATTTCTAGACCACGAGTGTAATATGGACAGGTTGAGTCAAGCCTTCGATATCAACATAAAAAGTCCTGCTAACCAAAAATTAATGGCTATTGCTCTGATTGAAAAGAAAGGAGTCTCTTTTGCCCAGGAAAAAAATAGACAAACAAGAATATGTGTGATTCTTTAGAGAATCTGGCAAATGATCTTAATAACATCCATTCTTTCATCTGTTTCATTCATCAAGCGTGGAATGTGTGTAAGATCACATGAATGAATCGTAATAGATTGTTCCTTTGCACAACTCTCTTTGAACATCTGTCTTCGATTCGTACATAACACTTTACAACACAGCAGCATTCACATTATACAGTCGCAATTCAGAGAAACCGGCACATAGAGCATTTGCAATCGAATACATTAAAAAAGCAGCTGCACTAGAGACATATCGCTGACAGTTCGACATTCCACATCACACAATGTGTGTGTATTGTTTCTGTGAATGTGTAAAAGTTTTACGAATCGCGCTGGAAGAGGGGGGGGGGGGAAAGATTCTAGTTTGCCCCGGAAACGAAACGTTCGAGGGCAAACTAGAGCAGGAAGGGCGATTTTAACACTATAATTAAGTGAAATCTTTGTTATTTTTGAATTTGGTCCGAAGGATCAAACGTGAATCATTAAGATATTTTTCCCACATTGATCTTTCGAACTTCTTCTTCATATCTATCACATTTATCATTCCACAGATCTTTTGTGCATCTGTGTTGGTGCATTCCTCTAAAAATGCCCAACATCAAGCAGATCGGCGCAAAGTCCAAGCTTTACTTAAGTGAATAGATGGAATCCATATGTGCTTGAGAAAATCCGCATGATCGCACGTGAACATTCTACAATGCTTCACATGTGCTTTGCATCGTTCATCCGTTGCCTTTTTTCAAACATTACAACTCTTTACAGCTAGGTGGGCGAATGGAATTGCAGAAAAATTCCGCAAAGATTTTTTTATTATTCTCGAACATGATCCGGGGATCGTTGCCAGATCACATTGACCAAGGGGGGGGGGGGGGGAAGGGAGGGAGGAGAAGTAGGCTTACATGACATCCGGTGGAGGATTCTGAAATCAAACTGGAGAAGGTCGGTTGCGGTAGAGCACGGCAACGTCACCCTTATGTAAATTGCCTCAGAAAATATCGCGCTCTACCGCAGCGATCTACTCAAGTTCAAATTTCAAAAACGTCCAGCGGATGTTACCAAAATGGGGACACTCATAATTTTTGCTTAATATGACTCCTTTCCGCCTAATTACTCACTGCATCACAAAAATTTGCAATAGAGTTCAGCAATCTTTGTAACTCAGTGTGTGGGCTGCACAACATGCATGGTATCCGCCGGCCTATACACTAACAAACTGTGGATTCCCAATCTTCCCATTTCCTTCCCTTTTCAAGTCACTCAGGCACAAGCCGGTATAGGTGATCATTCCCCAACAGAACATCAACTGGGACGCTTTTTTACTGTCTTTCCATTTATACGTAGTCGTGATATGGCGCGAACTGTGTGCAACTACACATACTACCTCAAAAACGACTCCATTACATGGGCCCTCTGCCATTCTGCTGCCCAAAAATCAAATATTTGGCAATCGTCCAACAACATCTCCTATTAGGCGCATTACTCTGTAAAAACGAGGTCATTTTCGTCACAAATTGTTCCATCTAGATAGTTCTTGACAATGTTGGCACGTACTGGTGCATGACCTCGGCGCACCACTACTCTCTAACTACAGTAGGGTCTACGCCAAGTAGTTTGTGGGCAGTGTTGCATAAAAACTTCACGAAAAAACTAACTAGGACGTCGAAAGAACTCTACAAGTCTCGTACACGATCATGTTGACCTCTTGTACCAGCCACTGCCGTGCGCACATTTTTTCCGGTGTTCGGGATTAGTTCAACGAGACCTTAGCATAGTTTTTTGGGCTCGTCTGAGGAAACTATGTCTGTCGCTAAAGGGCGCAGTCACCATCACCTTTGGGCCCTTTTCCGATGAGAAGAAAAAGCGCTTTGCAAACATTGGTTGAACTTCTTTCTTTGCACCAGGCACACACTGTCCATGCGCTAAGGTTGAGTCATTGAAGCAAATAATTCGGACTTCGGGATTACTAGCCAGAACAAAAAATTGGCCCGGTGCCAGAGTAGACGCACTTCCACTTAGTATGGATGACATTCGGGATTCATACTTATTACACTTCGTCTCGGTCGTGCCATTACACTTCATTTTGCTGCAGATACTCGTCCGAAATGCATTATTTGCACGGATGAGATCAATTAGCCGCTCCGGAAGAGATGAAAAAAACACACCGACTGCAGACAAATGCGTATTTGAGTGAAGAATAGCCAGACATTCATCACTCGGAATATCAAATGTACCAATTTCTGCATAAATAGTTG